GCTACCAAACGTCACAACGTAACTGGGTGATTATAAAGGTGCTCTACAAGTGACTCCGATGGTGTTTGTTGAGTTGGCATGAATCAAGATTGTGATTTGTCATTCTGATTGTCGGAGAGGTATCTCTGGGCCCTCTCGGTAATGTACATCACTATAAGCCTTGCAAGCAATGTAGCTAATGAGTTAGTTACGGGATGTAGCATTACGGAACGAGTAAAGAGACTTGCCAGTAACGAGATTGAACTAAGTATTGAGATACCAATGATCGAATCTCGGGCAAGTAACATACCGATGACAAAGGGAACAACGTATATCGTTATGCGGTTTGGCCGATAAAGATCTTCGTAGAATATGTAGGAACCAATATGAGCATCCAGGTTCCGCTATTGGTTATTGACCGGAGACATGTCTCGGTCATGTCTACATAATTCTCGAACCCGTAGGGTCCGCACGTTTAATGTTCGGTGACGATCGGTATTATGAGTTTATGTGTTTTGATGTACCGAAGGTAGTTCAGAGTCCCGGATTTGATCACGGACATGCCGAGGAGTCTCGAAATGGTCGAGACATAAAGATCGATATATTGGATGACTATGTTTGGACATCGGAAGCGTTCCGAGTGAAGTTCGGACATATACCGGAGTACCGGGGGGTTACCGGAACCCCCCGGGGAGTTTAATGGGCCTTATGGGCCTTAGTGGAAAGAGAGGAGGGGCTGCCAGGGCAGGCCGCGCGCCCTCCCCCTCTGGTCAGAATTGGACTAGGAAGGGGGGCGGCGCCCCCCTTTCCTTATCCCTCTTTCCTCCTTCCTTCTACTCCTACTACATGGAAAGTGGGGGAATCCTACTCCCGGTGGGAGTAGGACTCCCCATGGGGCGCGCCATAGGAGGGCCAGCCCTCCCCCTCCTCCACTCCTTTATATACGGGGGAGGGGCACCCCATAGACACACAAGTTGATCATTGATCTTTAGCCGTGTGCGGTGCCCCCCTCCACCATAATCAACTTCGGTAATATCATAACGGTGCTTAGGCGAAGCCCTGTTCCAGTAGAAACATCATCACCGTCATCACGCCGTCGTGCTGACGAAGCTCTCCCTCGAAGCTCTACTGGATCGTGAGTTCGCCGGACGTCACCGAGCCGAACGTGTGCAGATCGCGGAGGTGCCGTATTTTCGGTACTAGATCGGTTGATCGTGAAGACGTACGACTACATCAACCGCGTTGTCATAACGCTTCCGCTTACGGTCTACGAAGGTACGTAGACGATACTCTTCCCTCTCGTTGCTATGCATCACCATGATCTTGCGTGTGCGTAGGAATTTTTTTGAAATTACCGTGTTCCCCAACAAGAGGAGGAGGTGGAGGAGAATGAGGATGGCAAGGACGATGATCTGGATGATTTTGGCGGTGATCCGGAGAAGGATAGAGGAGAAATTTTCAACATGCGGAAGGACGAGCTGTTGTGCAATGCATGGTTGGCCACTAGCTTCGGTCTGATCCATGGCACGGATCAAAAGGGCTCAACTTTTTGGGCTAACATTCACACATGGTTCCATGAACACAAGCATTTTGCACCCTACTCCGATGGGATCATCCGCAACCGTGAACTAAAGTCCCTCAATCATCGATGGTAGAGGCCGTGATGAAGTATTGCGGCCACCTGGTGCATCTCATCGCACGGTGGCCTAGTGGTGCCCAAATTACCGAGCAAGTAAGTTCATTTGACCAGACATGCATAGATTTGTAGCCAGATATGCATAGTTTTGTTGATCGTTGGCTGGATATGCATAGTTTTCTTGATCATTGGCCGGATATGCATAGTTTTGCTGATCATTTGTCGAATATGCACAGTTTTGTAGCCAGATATGCACAGTTTTGTTGATCATTGGCCTGAAATGCATAGTTTTGTAGGCGGATATGCACAATTTTGTAGCCGGGTATGCATAGTTTTGTTGATCACTAGCCGAAAATGCATAGTTTTGTAGCCGGATATGCATAGTTTTGTTGATCATTGGCCGGATATGCATGGTTTTGTTGATCATCGGATGAATATGCATTGTTTTGTTGACCATTGGCCGGATATGCATAGTTTGGTTCATCACTAGCCGGATATTCATGGTTTTGTTGATCACTAGCCGGATATGCATGATTTTGTTGACAATGTTTTATTTTGTAGCCTTCTTCAAGAAATTGGAGAAGAAAAACTTCACTATCATGCATTGCTGGTTGAAGTTGAATGGGCAACCGAAGTGGAACCTATTCATAGCCAGGACCGCCACCCAAGTCACCGGGGAAGAAACCGGTGACCCAACTGACCCAACAAAAGAACCACCCAAGAAGGTTAGAAGAGGGTTTCGGGAAAATAAGTGGGAGGAGGAGAGGGTGAAGCGAGAAGGTGTGGCGGTCAAGATGATGGAGAGGTTCAATGACATCTTGTCCAAGGAGAAGGAGGCATACATCAAGTGCTCGGACATTAAGGATGAAAAAAGGGTGGAGAGGTTCAAACTGTTGATGGAGACGACCGAGAAGAAGCTAGCGCTCGAAGAGAAGAGGGCCTTGATCGAAGAGAAGAAGGCCATGCTTGAGGAGGAGAAGACGATACATGAAGAAAAGAAGGTGAAGATCGCAGCCGATGCGGAGGACGCCGACATGTTGTCCTTGAAGGCAGAAAGATGAGTTGGAGGCGACGGGCGAGGAGCATGAGACGGCGGAGAAGGAGGCAGAGGAGAAGGCTGCATACGCGGCGGCGATGGCACCTTGAGCGTCGAAGAGGTTCGGATTGCCGGTCCGGCAAGGCAGAAAATCTCAATTTTTGGTCGGACTGAATTTTTTTGTGATCAAGCACGTAAAAACTTAAGCATACTTGCATCTTGTTGATTATGATCAGGCTTGTGATCCGGCGATCTATGGATCAAATTTTTATTTAAATTTTAAATTGCCTTTACTGACAGACATATACTCCCTCCGTTCATTTTTTAAAACGTTTTAGACATTTAAGACAATACCTAAAACAGTTCAATTTCAGCTATCTAAAACTACTTACAAAAGTAACAGAGGGAGTACCATGATTTTAAATTGCATTTACTTACGAACATATACTACTGACATGATAGCATTTGTATGGTCGGTCCCACATCCAGACTGACCCCCTATTCACGGACGGATGTTGGGGAGCAACTAGTTAATGAGCGCTCCTTCGGGAGCCTCGCAACGATCAGCGCCACTTGGCGCGCTCTCAGCCATTCGCCACGTATCGCGCTCTGGACGCTCCCTTTGGATTATTTTTTATTGTTCAGCACGCATTTTCGGCTTTTTAAACGGTTTTTTCCGGGGGGGTTTCGATGTTTTGGTTTTCCCCCGGTCTTTCTTAGCTTTTCGATCAAAAAAATTTGAAAAAATATTTTATTTTCGCGAAAAAACGCGTTTTCTTTTTTTTCCTTTCGTGAAAGTCACGGTTTTTCTTCCGCGAGAGACATGGTTGTGCTTTAGCGAGAGTCACGGCCGTGCCTTTTGGAAACAAAAAAAACGCGTTTTCTGTTTTTTTTTCTTTCGCGAGAGTCACGGTTTTGCTTTCGCGAGAGGCACGGTTATACTTTCGCGAAAGTTACGGCCGTGCCTCTCGAAAAGGGAAAAACAAAACGCGTTTTCTATTTTTTTTCGTTCGTGAGAGTCACGGTTTTGCTTCCGCGAGAGGCACGGTTGTGCTTACGCGAAAGTCACGGCCGTGCCTCTCGGAAAGGGAAAAAATACGCGTTTTCTGTTTTTTTTTCTTTCGCGAGAGTCACGGTTTTGCTTTCGCGAGAGGCACGGTTGTGCTTTCATGAGAATCACGGCCGTGCCTCTCGGAAACGGAAAAAACGCGTTTTTTGTTTTTTTTTCCTTACACGAGAGTCACGGTTTTGCTTCCACGAGAGGCACGATTGTGATTTTGCGAGAGGCACGGGCGTGCCTCTTTTGGAAAGGGAAAAACCATGCTCCCGGTTCGGTTTTTTCGTTCGTTTTTTTCATGAAAAAAAAAAGTTCATCAAAACCTATCAATATGGAATCTAGTTTTGAAGATCTCGACGCGAGAAATCCAATGGTGAAAATGGTTCGAGATTTGGACGCACGGTTTAAGAGATAAAACGTTTTGAATAAACGGATCTACGAAAAAGGAAAAACTCCCGGGTTGCAACAAGTGGCGCGCTGCATGTGCCTGTCGCGACCTGGGAAAGTGAAGTGTTCTTTGTAACCAGTACTCCTTAATTAGTGATTTCGCGGATGTTGGAGCAAAGTTTTCACGGAATGATCCCTTGTTCACGGACCGCAGCAAATTTACGGGTCCGCGTTAACTGATTTGCATCCGCACTCAGCGACTCTATCTAACTAAACGGTGAAGATGCCCATCTGAGTTCTATCTAACTAAACGGTGAAGATGCCCATCTGGGTGACGGCACGCAGCTAATTAAGATCGATCCACGGGTGTACGCAGACTGGCTATGTTGTTGTGAGGGAGAATCATCATGATTACCATCTTTCTTTTATAGATAGAGTAGATAATAATAAATGCAGCATGATTACGATGTCAACTGAAATCTTCCACTATCCAGAAAATCGGTGGCAACGACTTCACGGGAAAATACGAGGAGCCATACCAGCTCACCCACAAACAAAACTGTTCCGTTTACGGCCACACTGAGCAGTACAGTACTACAGATATACAACAGCTAAGCATGTGCCGCTCAGGTGCCGCCAGCGCCATCCGGTCACAAGTTCTCCTGTTTGCTGCACTACCGGCCCCATTCTACAGATGTACTAGTAGTATACAGAAGATGTATTAACGAAATGTTTCGTTTATCTCTATGTGCACGCTGGTTGTGTACAAACAAACGCTACAGAGAGCTTGCCTCCGGTGTCAGTTTTACCATTTACCATGCTGCCAGCCTGCTACTGCTAGCTAGGCTCAGGCTGATTGCATGGAGATGCTATCTGTGATGCCTCCTAGTCTTCATACGAAAATTTCAATACATCCCTTTGAAAACAGGATTTGATCGGCAGATGCTTGCACCGTACTCTTCATACTCTGCTTTTGTGTGGCAAGCCTGTTGGAGATAGAAATATGACAGTTGGCTTAGATCAGATACTGAAAATGCAAGTTAAAACAAATCATAGTAAAGATGCTTCGCTATAATACTTAGGCCCTGTTTGGTTCGACTGTGGATTTCTAAAAGCAGCTGTGGAAAAACAGCTGTGCAAAATCTGATGTGAAAAAGATGTAGGTCATTTGGCAAACCAGCTGATACAGCTTTTTTAGATTTTGGCCCGCAGCGGAATCAGATTTTGGAAAGCACGTCCTGGGCTGCTTCGGCTTTCGATTTAGATTTTGGCAGCGAATTTCTGGAATCAGATTCTGCTGGGTTCGCCCTTTGGTTCAGATTCTGCTACGCGGCAGCGGAATCCGTTGATGAAAGCTGAACCAAACAGGGCCTTAGGCTTTGGAGTCCATTTTCAAAACTACTTGCTCCAACCTATAACCCTTAGACAAGTTACAACTTTTGATGCATAGCTCAGATCGTTGGTCGAGATTAAAATTTACCCCCTTTTAACCGCAAGGGTAGTATAACCTATTTAATTGTGGCCAGCCCTCTCAAATGCCAATTGCCAGTGGTTCTCTTGCTGCCAGTGCATACATGCTGGCCACATCGAGTAGACATCAGTGGGTGCACGCAGAACGATACGTAATTCATGTGTCTAGGCACGATTTGGGGCTGCTACAGGTTGCAGATTTGGTTTGGATTTACTGGGGAGTTCATGTATGTGTTTGATTTGCACAGATTTGCCTTAATTCCGTTACAGATGGGGGATGGCACAATATCATGGATCAGTTTCACAGTGCCTCTAGGAGTTGTCACTTCCTCAAACAACGCTATCCTACGAAACTGATGGAGGAAGTATTTTCGGAGGACATAGATGGAGACAGGTCACAGGTGTTTGCTGTTGGATACTGGAGTTTCTACTATGGACCTAGCTCCCAATGCAATTGACTTGATTTTCTATCAACGATTGAAGAGAAGCTTGTCCAACATCGTCTGAGATGGTTGGGGCATATTCAGCACAGGAGGCTCCAGTGCATAGCGGACGGCTAAGGCGTGCTAAAAATGTCGAGAGGGAGGTTGGGGTAGACCGAACTTGACATGGGAGGAGTCCGTAAAGAGAGATCTGAAGGACTGGAGGTTTGGAGTATCACCAAAGAACTAGCCATGGACAGGGGTGCGTGGAATCTAGCTATTCATGTACCAGAACCATGAGTTGGTTGCGCGATCTTATGGCTTTCAGCTCTAGCCTACCCAACTTGTTTGGGACTAAAGGCTTTGTTGTTGTTGTTGTTGTTGTATCTAATCGCATAATCACTTCAGCACGATTTTGAAGTGATCTTTTTTTTTACAGGGACTGAAGCAAAACTCGAACCACACTAACAAATTTCAGGTGATATGAGTTTTCTTACTGCTGTACGGAGACAAAGTTTGAATACCTCATAGAATTCTGCTGTAGAAGCAAGCACCGATCCGCCAAACCAAACCGCATATCTTTGAATTGGATGGCTAACCACGTTTACTTCCACGGGTTGAGCCTGAAACCAACAAATTTAGCTGAATTTTCAAGTTCCAAACCTACAAGAAAGCCATTGCTTTCTGCTGCCAGAAAGAGAAAAAAGAGCAAACAAGGAAAGTTTATACCTTCGCATCTCCACCAAGTCGAGCATTAGATGCACGGACCCGTACATCCACAATCTTTTTCAGGTCCCGCTGTAATCTTCTGTGGAAATCCTTAAACATAGTTGAACCCCCAGACAAGACAATATTCTGTGACATTGAAAGCACACTCAAAATACTGTAATGTCAGAGAAAACAAGGTTTTGATGTACAAACCTTATAAAGTGCCCTCCTTGTGTCAATTGGGGATGATTGGATACACTTGTCTATAACATCTTGCAAAGGAGTGGTGAAGTCATTGTTGTAAATCTCAGGGTGGAAGAATATCTACAGATATTATGCAGCGCTCTGAGAAGACTGAACTAAAACGAGCTTTGAAATTGAAACAAATCACAAAGAAGTTTCAAGATCCTCCTGAATCTACAGATATTAAAATTGATCTAAAACAAGCATTGAAATTGAAACATGTCACAAATAAGTTTCAAAATGCTCCCAAATATATTGTCTGCAACAGTTACATTGAAACTAGAAAGGACTTCAAATCAAATAAAACTGCATTTTTCTATCCATGATGTCAAGTTTACCATTTTACTATTGTTATAAGTGTAAAATACCCTGAACTTTGCCTCATGTTCACTAATGGTGCTAAAACTTTCAAGCGATTCAAAACAAACCCTGAACTTATGAAACAGGCTCATTTACTTCAAAGTGGTTTTTGCTGATGAGACGTCCAAGTGACGCCAGTTTTATAGATATGGTAAAAGACAAGCCTAAATAAGACATGACACCACAGAAGTAACTACAGAACACATCAGTGTACTAACCTCAGGGCCCAGGAAGCGCTCGTATCCAATGTCACAGGTGTACGGAGCACCCGTTTTTGGTTTGATGCCAGTCAGGCGTTTTATGTACTTTGAGGGCTCCCTGTCATGCTTATTAAATTCCTGAAACAAACACGAAGATGTAATATGATTATTGTTCTTTTTGGATTGCTTCTTGCCCAAAAAATGATTTAGAGCAGACTAGAAAAAAGATAATAACAATTTAAGAATCAACAGTGGCAGAAAATGTTAAAGAGGAAAAATATTCAACAAAACATCTTAAGAGCAGGAGTGTACACAGTTAAGTCTGCGCCAGCAAGGTATTAATATGCCAATACATAAGCTTGAGTGCTATCTGCTGTACTAGCACAGGTTGCTAACTGTGTTGCTTACAAAAACCTTCAGCTGAGAACAAAAGAGGAAACTTTTTTTCTACAAAGACCTAAAATTTTCTGGAAAATGGAATAACAGATAGTCTATCGATGTTCAACAGCTACAAGCAGCATAATAAACGCCTAATGTACTTAATACCTTCACAATGTCCGAACATGTATAGCAGTACATTTCCTTCGCCCTCCTTGCTACATCAAAAGATTCTTCGGGTGGAATGTGTTCACCTCTTTCCTGCATTCAAGATTGGAAATTCGATAACTTAGTACAGTGTGGTCATTCAGTATATTACTCCCTCCGTTCCTAAATACAAGTCTTTTAAGAGAATTTAATATGGACTACATATGAATGTATATAGACATAGTTTAGAGTGTAGATTCACTCATTTTGCTCCGTCTGTAGTCCATATTGAAATCTCTAAAAAGACTTATATTTAGGAACGGAGGGAGTACTCTATATGACTATTTGAAGCTAAATAAAAATTATGTATGTCCTTCCTATAGGTGATCTGGTTTCCTTAGTCACAAGATGAGGATAAAGATGAGTTTCAGTCTGTCTTGGATAAAATGCCACTCGAATTCTGGCGATTTAGAGAAACACAATTTCCAAACTTTGAAAAATGCCACTGCAAACTTTGAAAAATGCCACTGCAAATTTTGCAAACTTTGAAAAACGCCATGCAGACTTTGAAAAATGCCACTGGAAATGGCATTTTTCAAAGTTTGGAAATTGCAGTGGCGTTTCTCGGAATTGCCAGAATTCGAGTGGCATTTGTCAAATTAACCCTTGTTTCAATGCGCATGACTGAGAACATTATTCAGAACTATTTTATCACTTCCTGCTGATGATAATAAAATAAAAGGTTAAGTACTATCTTCTGACTGTGGAAACTACCTTCATAAGTTGCTGAATAAACTGGGTAACATCCTTGCCTGTAAGTGGGATAGAACTGATACTGTTCCCAATGACATACCCATCAGCAACAGGAACAATGTGGGTAGCTCCGTCACCCACATCAACCACAACACCTGTCATTTCACACTGAAAGCACAGCATGAAGTTCCACAATAAATATCCAGTCTGATGATAGCTTAACAGGGGAAGTAAGAAATCAATAGTAAAGATTCAAGAATGTAGCACAAACTGCAAAAGTGGATGGAGCAACAAAATATGCAAATATTATGTGAATCAAGAATGCATGATTCCTACGTGTTAGATTACACCACACTGGATGGAAGGGAGAGGGAGGGGATCTGCAAACATCTAGTAAGCTAATGTCAGTACACGCAGCTAATACATGACCATGTGGAGCAAATACGAGTACATCATGTTTAACATTTCAAGTCAATGTTGGCAAGCTCAACAACCAAATTGTGTTGGATTCTAGCGCACTCAACATGCCAGACCCAAGGAAAATAGGGTAGTAGAAATGGTAGCAAGCACTGTCATTTCGGCGAAAGCATGCACTGGACCAGGTTTATACAGACATAATATGGATGCAGGTTTAGTTGGGGATAGGTGTATTCTCTACCTTACCGAAAGTTCAGGAATCTGAAAGCAAAACGGATAGCATATGTTGACGGAAAATATGATAAAAACAAAGCTGCATGAAGGACTGCTGTTGTGAGACTGTTATTACTTACTATAAAGCAAAGACTCCCAATATTTCTCGATCCTAAATCCAAATCGAGGTGCATGACTAGCAGAACACTAACAAATCGTCTTTAATGCCTTAAGTAACCCCCATCCAACTAGATCAGTCCATTCGATCCTCTTCTGATTCCAACTCGAACTTAATTGCTCAAGTAGCAGCTAGCCTAGCAGTCAACTCCACAGATGGACATCTTCTACCGAAAGGAGTAGTGCAGAACCAGGAGGGCATCAATGAGTTAATCTGCCGGATTCTCAACGTTTATTAATGACGGTACAGTGAACATCAATAACATCTTACTCCGAAGGAAACCCACCGACTAACTTGGTGTAATAAGACAAAGGAGCGATAGTTAGGCTATCGAGCACCATGGTACTCGGTATTTTTTTTAAATCTAAAAAGATGTTTATAAGTCTCAAAAATTTCCAATTTTTTTTCTAACATTACATATAGATGTTTTCAACATATCATGTAAAATTATACGTTGATTTATAGGGTACACAGAATAATGTGTCTCCAAAAACAGCAAAAGTTAACTTCATTTTGATCAACATATTTATCTTATTTATGACACCACAGATGAAAGATACATTGATGAACATATGTACACAAATACTGCATATCTATAAGTACATGTACAAAAGATTTCAGGGTTTTTTTGTAGTCTCAAAATAATATTTTTGATTTTTTCAAGAAAGGGCTCCATGTAACCTGGGATCCATTTTGCTTTTTCAAATGTTATAGTCCCTTCCTATATCAATAACACGCAGAATGCGCGTGAAAAGAATGGAGGATACCATATCTGGCTGCATAGAAGACCTCTAATTTGGTCGATTTTTCACGTTGTATGTATCGACTTCTTAAATTATAGTGGTGAAATTTTCCTACGGAGTTCTCACTTGGTTTTCGTAAATATATTTCCTTCACGCGTTTATAATATGCACCAACACAAAAGCATCAAGAATTACGAGTCAAGGAGTCGAGCCGAGGTTGAGACTCATAGACTAATCGATCGTGACTAGTCTACACTACTGCTGGACTAGTCGACATGGTATTGCAGTACTCAGCTTACAGTACTCAACTAATAATACCTAGTATGTAGTATATACTATATATTACAGTACAATATACAATAAAAATTGAGTTGATCCATAGGAGGATCACAGCAGCATAGGAGAACAGCAAGGGAGGAGCACAAGCAGAGGGGTGGATCCAGGGGAGGAGCAGAATCAGCGGACAGAGATCGTCGCAATGCTCCTGGGCACCGCTGGCGGGGGTCAATGGGCGGCGGCCTAGCCCCAGGTGAGGCGGCTCGTTGTGGAGCAAGCCTGGAAAGCTAGGATTGCAACCCCTCCTAGATGCACATTTTAGAAATTATGTGCAAAATAAGCAGATGTACACATTTTTGTGCAACACCAGGCTTAGCGTGCAAGGTGGCTGACTAAGAAATAATGATTTTTTAGGCCACCAAAAAATAAAAAATCCATGCAAAAACACAGCACTCTTGTTTATTGCACATGCAGGGTGTTTAATTGCCTCATATTTCAAGTTTGTAACAGTGTGTACTACCGAATTTTTTATATTGGTTGGATACTACTCCCTCTGTAAACTAATATAAGACCATTTAGATCACTACTTTAGTGATCTATAAACGGTCTTATATTAGTTTACAGAGGTACTTGCTATTTCTCCGTCTCTTTCTTAGTAGAGAAAACATGTGCTCTATCTCATGTGGCGATACCTTGTTGAACTTGTTAAAATTCCTTCCTGATATCTAGGAGATATTTTTGAAACATTTCCTAAATTTCTAGAGGGGAAGGCTGCATGCTAGCGTTGATTCATGTGGCCGCTACGGCTCTCTGCAGCAGTAGCCCATGGCCACAGAAGATTCGGATCATGTGAGAATTGCTTAAATCCTTTCTAGACTGCCATCTGACGCAATGCAGGAGGAGGATAGTGTACCGATGAGACCCACCGGAACCCCTGGGGCATGGACCATCAGATTACCAGATCAAGTGGTACGTACACTGCCATGTTGTCACAGATTTAAGTCCTTCCAATGCAAGCCGTCCAATCGGGAAGATCCAATGGCTCACATCCCCCAACTAGTGAGTTTAACGGTACATTTTGTAATTGCGGACCTTATGGCTCTACAGCATATAACCTACAATTCCATCAAGGTACATATCCGGGTTTAAGTATCTATTTGTAACTTCGAACAAGGGATGAGCAGATGATAATTAGTTTTCAGATGCTCAATACTAAACTATAGCAGCCAAAATCTGGGACCAGTGACACTGGAAGCACCACTTAATACTTAATAGCATTTGCCATGCTGTTACTCGTAAGAAATCTAATATGAAAGGAAGTCTTACTGGTACGCAGTATTCCCCAGGACACGATACATGGTGAATGTCCAACACAAGAGATTACATAGCATAACCTAGAGTATTCTACATTGACAGAACAGAACAAACGAGGTAATTGAAAAGGGAACCACTATAAATCTTGCTCGTCGGAAATGTGCAATACAGCAGTAAAACTATACTGAAATGGCCAGTTTCAGAGTTCAGACTCAGAAAATCCAAAGCTCAATGACCACAAGAGAAAACTCTGACGACTAACCTTGGTTGTTGTGTATCCTGCGGCTAGGGCAAGGACGGGTTGAACCGCTATGTACAGACCAGGCACATTGAACGTCTCAAACATGATCTCCCCAGTGTACTCCCGGGTTTCTGGAGGAGTCAGTGGGCTCTCGGTCAGCAGGAAATAGTGATCTTCTGGGTCACACCTGAGGTAATTGAAAATGCATTGCTGCCAGAACTTCTCCATGGTGTCCCAGTTGTCAACCTGAACAGTTAATTTTCAGCCCAAAATAACGAAGATCACACATGAACACACGCAGATGACGGTTCCAAAACAATCAACATTCGGCACTGCGGTACTACAATCGGCACCCACCTGACCGTTGCGAATGGGGTAGCTCAAGCTGTATGTGCTGCTGGAACGGGACCGGGCTAAAGCCTCCTCCCCTATTAAGAAGTCGAGATCGGCCATGACGCCCGCGCTGTGCTGCGCCAGCCAGTTCCCCTTGGCGGTGGCCCTCGTCTGGTCGGAGAAGGATTCGTTGACGGCGACGGCGGTGGGGGTGATGAAGCAGGGCTCCACGTTCCCGGCGAACCCCATCTTGGTGTAGCTGCCACGGTTACTTGGATCAGCATCGTGCGTTCAACCCACGCGCATTTCCGCGCACAGATCTGGTGAGCCTGAAGGACAGAGATGCGTACCCGGTGCCGTTGTCGATGACGACGGCGGGGCGTGAGGTGGGGTCCATCGTGGTGCGGGGGCGGAGGCAGACGATGTCAGCGGCGGCAGCACCAGGTTGCGACTGGCGAGAGGAAAGTCGGCGGTGGGAGGAAACGGTTGCGGGCGGCGGCCACCGTCGCAGCGGCGAGCATGCCAGCACCAGGCCCCACCGACCGGCACTAGTGGTAGTAACCACCACCAAGGGGGCCGAGCTTGGGCTGGTTGGTGCGGGGTCGAGAGCGCGAGAGGGGACTAGAAGCTTGGAGAAGAAGGGAGATAATCGAGGAATCTGGAGCGAGATTAGCTCGCGCTTGTGCCTGGCTTTGGTTTTGGGGTTGCTTTGCCTGGGTTTGTCGGGGTAGAGAGCGAGCGTGTTGCTGAATGCTGATGCTGCCGGTGTCCTCCGGTGTTGTTCTTTCTCGGGTTGGTGCGGTGACGGTGTGGCGTGGCGTGGGGGCGTGCAGGATGAGTACTACTTACAGCCACAGCAGTGGGCACGTACTCGAATTTCGGCGTTTAGCAGCTGACAGGTGGGCCTGGAGGACGTCTTTTACGCTGATAGGTGGGCCTGACGCGACAGTGGAGAATATTTTGGCCCTCCGTGTCAGGTGAGCAGAAATGGGACGTGGATTTGCCATTAAACTAACAGAAGAATCACCACGTGACACATGCGTAATAAGCAATCTAAACAATTTATCTAAGAAAACTTACAGAAGATTTATTTACCATTATGCTGTCGTAGCTTTTTCAGTAGAAGTAATGTAGAATCAAAATTATTGACTAGAGAAAGAAAAGACAATAGTGGTGTGGATGCAAGATTTAAGGCCAACTCCACCGCGCGACCTCATCTTGTCCGGGTGCGTTTGTTTGGGGTAGAACAGACGAATAGCGCGGCCCAACGCGTGGCCCCAAACGGACAAATATCCGGATTCCGTCCGTTTTCGGCTCATTCCCGAGCCAAACTTGCATCGAGTTTGGTGCGAAACGGACATCACGCGGACGGGCTCGCCGCACGCCCTTGTCCTCTTGTGACCCGTCTGTCGGGGACACTAGCAGTCTCTTCGCTTCCAACGCCTCCACCCCCTCTTCCCGCCCCGCCCCGCCTTCGGCGCCGCCGCTATTCTCCGGCCGCCTCCTCACCGTGCAGCCGTTGGCCGTCCATACTAAACCACGCCCACATGGCCGCCACCATGCCCGCGCGTTCGCCGTAGTTTTGGTCGTCGCCGTCGTTACCGCTGGCAGAGGGGATACGACCACAGGCGACGTACCACGACGGCCGCGGCAGCTTCCGACGGGAGCTCCAGAGCGACCAGTAGCCGGCTGGCAACCACCCCTGCTGCGTCGAGGTGATCATCGCGGCCTCTTTGCCACCACGACCGCAAGGTGTTCGACACTTTGCCCACAAAGGTATGGACAGCGAAGATGAGTTTTTCTTCCACCACTTTATTTGTTCATCGGACGATTCGTCGTCGGATGATGAAGATCTTGTAGTGGTTGCACTGGTCGTTCACAACCACATTCAACGGCAGCTTCCTCGGTATAGGGGATCAGTCACTGGTCGTGCCCCCAATCTGAACCGCAACAGAGAGAGGCCACGCCCTGCTCTATGCCGATTACTTTTCCAACACCCCGCTCTTCAAGCAGGATAAATCCCGTCGCTGTTTTCGAATGGCATGGCATGTGTTCAATCGTATCCGAGAGGGAGTGGTTGCTCATGACACATACTTCGAGTGCAAGACGGATGCTCTTGGCAAGCTTGGATTATTCTCTTATCAGAAATGCACCGCGGCCATTCGCATGTTTGCATATGGAATTCCAGGCGATCTGGTGGATGACTATGTGCGTATTAGTGAGACAACATGTCTGATGTCAATGTACACGTTCTGCCAGGCTGTGATGGAGGTGTTTGGCCTTGAGTACTTGAGGCAGCCAACTGCCGCTGATACAGAGAGATTGTTGGCGACCAACGCAGTTAGAGGCTTTCCAGGCATGCTTGGCAACATAGATTGTATGCATTGGGAGTGGAAGAACTGTCCATTTGCTTGGCAGGGCCAGTACAAAGGGCATGTCAAGGCATGCACTGTCATATTAGAAGCGGTGGCTTCGCAGGATCTTTGGATGTGGCATTCTTTTTTCGGCATGGCAGGTTCTCATAATGATATCAACGTGCTGCAGCGTTCTCCAGTCTTCGCAAGGCTTGCAGAAGACCACTCCCCACCTGTCAAATTTGAGATCAACGGCCACTAGTACAACAATGGATACTATCTAGCTGATGGTATATATCATCAGTGGTCAACTTTTGTGAGGACAATCTTGAAACCCCAAGATAAGAAGAGAAATAGATTTGCCCAAATGCAAGAGAGTGATAGAAAGGATGTGGAATATGCTTTTGGTGTGCTTCAATCCCGGTGGGGTATCGTTCGAAACCCTACACTGTCATGGGATGAAACGGAGCTTTGGGAGGTGATGACTGCTTGTGTGATCATGCACAACATGATCGTCGAGGACGAGCGTGATGAGAGTATCTTCGACCAAGGATTTGATTATCAAGGTGAAAATGTTGAGCCCCTGCACCAAGAACTGGCCACATTTGAACGGTTTGTTTAATTCCACCGTGAGCTGTGTGATTGGCACACTCATTTGAATCTTCAAAATGACTTGGTTGAGCACGCGTGGGATCACATTGGCAACCAATAAATGTATTGGTTCATTTTATGTTTATTGAAGATATTTTCGATTTGGTTGTAAAACTATTTTATTAGAGACAATTTCAATTGGGTTGTAAAACAATTTTTTATTTTGAGACAAATATTTAGACGTGCAAACTAGTTTTGATATGAAAATATGGGTATTTTTTGTCCTGGCGGACAGGATGGGGCAAAAGGATGCGACCGCGCGCTGGGCGCACGGCCACCGCATCTCAGGATAGGCCTGGACACGACCCCATCTTCCTATCCAAAGGGACAAAACCCGGCCAAACCGGACGTCCATTTGGGGTCGCGCGGTGGACGTCCAAAGGGACAAGCAGCGAACCAACCTGTGGTTGGATGGCTAGAGGGACTGTGGTATCTCCAGCCCACCAAGATTCAAGTCCTAGTGCTCGCAATATTTCTGGATTTATTTTAGGATTTCCGGCGACGTGCTTTCAATGGGAGAAGACGTTTCCATCGTCGACAAGGTGTGCGTGTTTGCATTCATAGAAGTGAGTATATGTGCATAAGTATGAGCGCTTACGCCTGTACTGTATTCAAAAAAAGATTTAAGCATTTTTTTTCAAAAAACACAATTCTTCCAAGAAATCTAAGTAAAGTGAGCAAAGCATCTTTCTGATGTGACATTACTAAGTTGACGTCAGCAACTAATTGTGGTTTCCTTTGTTAATCGTTTCTGCTATTTTTTAGACAAATGTGTTTTCAATTTTTTTTAACACGGTATATATGTAAGCGCTCATATATACGTGCATACAATCACCCCTATGAACATACACACACACAAATATTCCTATGAGCACCTTCGAAAAACTGAGTCGACATGTCATCTTGAAATTTTACAAAGTCGTCATAGGTGCCTCGTAGTCAATGGAAACATCTCCTTTCACTGAACAAGCATCGCCGGAAATTTTGAAATAAATCCAGAATAAATGCGAGCACCAGGACTTGAACACTGATGACTTGAGGATATCATTGTCCTCCTAACCATCCAGCTACAGATTGATCCATAAATGTGTTTTCACGTGTGTGTGTGCGTTTTTTTATGCGTCTACCCCCTTCAACCCACCACAACTTGGCCCATCATACAAACCCCCCAGCCTTCAGACGCCAGATAAGGAATGGAAAGGAAAAAAGAAAAGAAACGATTTGTTATAGTCAATTCTATTTGCAAAGAAGCTCTCAAAATAGAAAACATTTTGGTGAATATTCATTTATGAGCTCAGACTCATCTGCACCCGGTCAAGAAAAAATTCAAAGCAAATACAAAAAATTCAAACAAATCCAATTTTTTTTATCATGGTAGATAATTTGGTGCGCGGGTGCGCTCCAAATTTCAGATCATTTGGACTTATGAGTAGCTCTTAGCAAAAAAGACAAATTGAGTCAGAACAGTAAAAAAAATTATAGACCCTAAATTTGTCTTTTTTGTTAAGAGCTACTCAAATGTTCAAATGGTCTGAAATTTGGAGCGCACCACCAAATTATCTACCATACAAAAAAAATAGAGTTTTTTGAATTTTTCTAGTATTTGTTTTGAATTTGTTCTTCAACGCGGGTGCAGATGAGCCTGGGCACCGAATCGCTGCTCTCACATTTTGGGAGCTAGAAAGAAAATGGGTTACATAGTTTCTATTCATTAAAATTGTTAAGTTGCTTTTACAGAAACGGATACACAATATGGTCGGTTAAAAAGTGTTAAAGTTGTTTTCAAAAAAACTTAGGCAAAATGAAAAATATTTGTTCGGTTTAAGTTCGAGTGTTTAAAAAAAACTTAGACTAACAAAGGATAGGCATGTTGAGGGTGGACTTGCAACTAGGACAAGGGTCAAGGGTGACAAGTTGCACGTCGTTGGTTGTATGCAACTAGGTGAAGGTCGGGGGAAAGTTGCATGTCAGGGTGGACTTGCAACTCGGACAAGGGTGAGGGGCAAATTTGTGTGTCGGGGGTAAACTTGCAACTAGGACAAAGAGTCGGGGTCGAATTGTGTGTCAAGGGTGGAGTTGCAACTAAGACAAGGTTGAGACAAGTTGTGTATCGGGGGTTGACTTGCAACTAAGTCGGGGGTTGAAGTTAGTTGCGTTTTAAGGGTGAACTTGCAACTGGGTCGTGGTTCGGGGCAAGTTGCATGTCGAGGGCACACTTACAACTGGGTCAGGATTTAGGGCAAGTTGTGTGTCCAGGGCACACTCCCAACTACAAGGACAAAAAATGGGGGTGAGGATGGCGAGTTGCATGTTGATGGTGGATTTTCAACCGACAAGGATTGAGGACGGCAGGTTGCATGCCATCGGTTGTATGAAACTAGGTCGGTCAGGG